TCGTGGAAGGCCAAGAACACCTAGCCGATTTCCTTGCTGAGAATCAGGTTCGTGTTGTTGCCTCCCTCCCTTGCTACACCGTGGAGAACGTCTCCAAGCAACGAGGCGGAGGGGTGTTCGAGAAGAGTATCGCAGCCCTCCAGATGCTAAATTCTCTGGGTTATGGCAAAGAAGGGTCCCCTCTGCAGCTTGATCTGGTATACAAYCCCTTGGGGGCTTTCCTTCCTGCGGCACAGGACGTCTTGCAGGCAGCCTACAAGACGRAACTGTTCGAGGCGTACGGCATAACCTTTAATAACCTGTTCACTGTCACCAACATGCCAATCAAAAGGTTCGCCGACTATCTGTATCGCAAAGGGGAGATGACATCCTACATGAACCTGCTCCTCAGCAGCTTCAACCCGGCGGCAGTAGATAGCGTCATGTGTAGGGATATGGTCAGCGTCGGATGGGATGGGGCCTTGTTTGATTGTGATTTCAACCAGCAATTGGGGTTGGGAGTGGGAGGGCAATCTGTGCCATCGACCGTGTTTGATCTGCATTCGTTCGATCAGCTGATCGGCCGACCAATCGCCGTAGATGATCACTGTTATGGCTGCACGGCGGGCCATGGGTCGAGTTGCACTGGAGCTTTGACCACATGATTGAAGTAGTACTGCGCACTGGTAGAAAAAAATAATTGTTATTCCTAAGTCATGCTACAGCTTAACTAACAGACATTCATGTAGGCTTCCTGCAAACCATTCATTTATTAAATAAAAGTCTATTAAACACACAAAGACATGGGACGTGTTTAAAGTCAGCTGTTGCATTGATCAGCTAGTTGGCAGGCAAACCGCCAGGGGGGATGCGTTGCTATGGCTGCACGGCAGGCCTTCATGGCTCACTCAAGCTGCTCTGGAGGTCTGGGCACCTGATTGACGTTTACAGCTTTGAACACAAGTCGGATGAGCCAGAACGTGCCGTCGTAATGACCATCAGCCAGCCAGTTGGCACAACAGCAGGCGATGCCTCAAAGCTGCACTGGTGGACCGTGGGCAATGCTGTGCTTTCACCTGCTGCAAGTGAATTCCAGCATCTTCTGCAGGTGACTTTCTCTGGACAAGATGTCTCAAGCTGCAGGTGCATTTTTACCGAGATAACTCAAGCTGCAACTGCAGGTGCTTTTTACCGAGATAACTCAAGCTGCAGCTGCAGGTGCATTTTTACCGAGATAACACTATCTGCAGCTGCAGCTGGATTTTTTACCTCGCTAACTCAAGCTGCAGGTGAATCTTTATGGGGGTGTCTCAAGCTGCAGGTGAATTTTTACCGAGATAACTCGAGCTGCAGGTGAATCTTTATGGGGGTGTCTCAAGCTGCAGGTGGATTTCATCGAGATAAGATGTCTCAATATGCACGAGATGTCTCAAGCCGCAGGGGAATTTGTCGAGGGGAGATGTCTCGTGCTGCACGTGAATTTCATCGAGGTGTCTCAAGCTGCCAGCGAACCAGCAAGTGAATCATCAGTCACCCTGCAGGTGAATTTACCGG